TATATGTATTATTCAGATTATCATTTTTATGTATTTAATTTCTATACTCATTATAAAATACTCCATATTTAGAATATAAATGTTATTTTGTAATTTATCATAACCATTAAAATCTTATCATGATAAAAGGAACAATAATTGTCCTTTTCATTAAAATAATTCATGTCCAAATATTTAATGCTCTGGTAATGATATGTACACAGTAACATTTCTCTAATTCTAATACTAAGCCTAAAGGCAATGGCAAGAAATATGTACATACAGACAATGCAATAACATTTGCTCATTTTCAACGTGTATATCAATTTCTCCCATCTCATATATGGTATCCAATACCCAAGAAGTTAATGAAATAGACATAGCCTTGCAACTTCCTTTCCAATGACCTATTATTCCAAAATGATAATAAGGGTAATTAGATTTGATATTATCCTTATTCGCTTTAACTGTCTTAACCATCTTGGTTGCTTTCCTAAAGCATCCTTTAGACTTTCCTAAATGAATCTATAACTAATATTTGTCCACTACAAACATAGATGTTGAGCTTAACAGTTTTAAGCAAGTTCAACAACTCAATAAGTGTGCATTCAAATTTATTCATGTTAAATTCATAATTAATTATCAATAACTCTCCGACGAGATTGCAGAACCAAGTCTATACTTAGTTCATGACTGAACTCAATTGAAACAACTTCTCAAAGTAGTCAACATCTACAGTACAAGAGCACTGGCTGAAGATTTTTCTACCATTAAGCACTGGTATAGTTGCTAGGAAATCTCATATCTTTCCACACGTGGTTATTCATCATTCAACACCTTGAGATGAAAAATCACGTGTTAGCATCTATACTTTTCATATTGTTTTTGTAACTCAGGTGACATAGTCACAAGCATCATATATGTTGCGTACAATTGTCATCACCGTGTTTATTATATCAGCCACTTCTTCCTTTGTTGAGTCATCAACAGGTGTCTCTGAAAAGGGTTACTCAAGGATATAACCAATTTTCTCATGCCTTAGAACAATTCTCAGATTGCGGTGCCACTTAAGAAAATTTGGTTTGGTTGTGGCATCCAGTATGCCTCTCAAATACATATGATTACTCACAATTCAATAAATGTAAATGACAAAAAGTAAATGAATAATATATAGAATGCATCAATTAATTTAACATGATCTTTTATTAAATTAATTATACTCGCACTGTTTGACTCAAATTTATGACCATCTCACATTAATTTATGGAATTCACGAGTTGGGATCTCATTTGTTATATTAAAACATTGAGTGTACTCAACAAGCCCTAACTGAACAAGCCCTAATAAAACAATTGGGTTGATACTATTATCAATTGTA